TTCAAAATCAATAAGTTAGAGGAACCATTATCACTGTACTCATCATTCAACAGGTCACCACGACGAGAGAATTATTTCATCACATCACAACCATCCTCACAATTCATCTACCAATCATCCTACATGTGGAACAGCTGTCGACAAACATCAAGTAAGATAAGTTTTAATACTCCGACAAACGGCTTTAAGAATACATTGAAAATTGCTTTACAAGAATTGCAATTCAAGCATGATACACTTGATTGGTGTGAGCTTAATTTTGCCACAAATGAGCTCAAGTTTTGATTAATGTGATTTACTAAAATAACCACTTATATTTCCTCATACATGCAACCACTGCACTCCAACTAAAAACATTATTTACCACAGTCCACACACCATACTCCACAGATGATATATATATATATATACACACAAACACACTAGTACCGAACAATTGCACTGTAAAACATGCTCACGATACACTCAAAATTGGAAATATTCAACGGCCCGTATATGAAACTTAGCGACTTACACTCAGTGTACACCCAGTGTTAACCAGTATTACACACTAGTAAATTCTACGTAACGCGCGAAAACAATAATTCTGTAGCGTTTTCATTGTCATATCTCACGTCGACGGGATTAAACGCGCGCGCGCGTAACAACTTATCTTCCTGCTAACTCAGCGACTAAACACACAACGACTTTGACAATTGACAGATGATTAAACAATTGTGAGTTATGACGGACTTAGCTGTATGGGTCAACTACTGAAACTGTATTGTTTACTATCTTATTCATTATACTGGACATGAGATGACGAAGTATCTTAAGCAGCACTTTATACCCCCCACTTAGAACTTGATTAGTCACGCACAATAGAATCATCAAAAACCAATACAATAAAACATCTTGATCAATAAATGCCTAGCAGCACCAGACAGCAGCCGTGTACCTTTTTCGACTCCGTGGAGCCCCTGATGGACTTTTGTTTACTTTTGTTAATAATCGGACCAACCTTTCTTTCTCGAAACATGTATCCTATTGTATTTCATTATTGTATTAAAATGTAAAGATATACTAGATATTACAACGAAATAGCGGTATACCAAATTGGCCCTTGATATTAACCGTGTTGATGGTTTTAAATTTTGTATGTTGTTAGTATTATATTTTAGTTTGTGAAGCGTTTACTCCTCCCCCTCAGCAAGACAGTTAGATGTAGATTAATGATAATAATTGTCAAATGACGTTATATATTATATAACAGTTATAAATGTTCAATAGTTGTAGAGCGATTTCAAGAGTAGTGGTCCACAGGGGTCCGAAAAAGCCGTACAGGCACTTGGGTCCTTATCCTTGTCACTAATCTCAATTGGATTCAGTTCACACAAAACATGAACATTTAGACGTACACATTGACACGATAATTATTTGTTATTAGAAAGCAAAAAGTATAAAATAATAAGTGCGTGCGCGGCTTGAGCCGTGCCGCATAAGAACGGATGCGTGCAGGGGCTGGAGTACGCTTGTATGTAGATTAATGAAATGTTGCATTGTAAATATTGAGATTTGACGATATATTATGATCTAATAATAAATTTTACAAAGCTGGCTTTGGATTTAGGTAAGATTATAATTTATTTTAAAAAACCACGGATAGTTTAATTTATTTCTATTTGACGTATAATCATAAACAATTTAATCCTGTTTTCAAGAATGCGCGGCTTTGGCGGCCAGTTATTGACTTATACATTAAATTGAATTTTAAATAGAAATGTGAATATATTAAAATTTAAAACTTTCAAAACGGAGGCTTATAAATATTATTATATTATGATTGTAAAATAAAGGATAAAATTTTAAATTTGTTTCACTAAAAATTTGTTTCACTATTTAAACCGGCTGTATCTTCGGTTGGGCTGGATATTTTTTGATGCGATTAAAAATTTCTTTCAAAGAATACTACTAGATTCGTCCCTGTTACCACGGGCTTTCTAGTTCTTAATAAAATCGTTATCAAGCTACAAAACTACAAATTTGAAATTGTATTTATTGAAAAATTAACATCTTTAATCAAATCAATGACCTTTCCTATCTCAATTTTACTTTCACAGTATGGTACAATCAGTGCAGTTTGTATATCCAAACACAAAACACCTGCAAAAGAAAACATACTTCGATCCCCAAATTAATTGCGCGCATTTTGTTAATTAATTTCAAACTTTTTTCAAAATTCCGTTTTGTGTGTTGTGTAATATGTTTAAAATCAACATACGCAGTTGTACAAATTACGTTTACTACTTTTTAAATAAGAATGACGAACTCAAAAACGTTATTCTGTATTCAACTGTTTTCTTTTTCCGTTAAAAATAGGACGGCAAGTCTTTTGATAGTTACAAATTATAAAATTATAAACTAAATTATTAACTGAATTGTATTCTAAAATTGATAGTCCATAATGCCTTGTTTCACGTTGTAGCTCTTCCGCGCACAAGTGCGCGGCCTCGTCATTCGTGGCTTTCGCCACAAATACCTAGCCAAATTTAGTTTTTCCAACGTGCAGTAAAGTGGTAATTTATTACAATTAAGGTCTCATGACTTTTACTGGGCCGCGCTCAGCCTGTCATTCCGCCAAATCTATGTTAATGAACATAATAGCCTGGGGTCCTCAGGTAACATTCATTGTATTACCTAGCTTCAAGCTTGTCAGTATCTTACTCCATACCTGCTTTTCTCCCTGTGCATAAATGTAAAAAGAGCGCCGCGCGTACATTTAACTTTGTAAGTATTGGCGTGTCTGTGGTCCGGTAACTATTGTATCTATCCAAGTAAAGACAGTTTACTCTATGAAAGGGGAGGTACAGATAAAGTACCAAACCGTATTGTGTATATTTGGTTGCAACTCCGTTAAATGATGAAACATGTCTCTTATGAGAGTGATACCGTGAGTTGCTTCCTTTTAAAAAAAAAAGAAAAAAAAAAGAAAAAGTAAAGACAGTTTTATTGAGTATGAATCTTCAACCATAATTGCTGAATTCATCTGTGTTAACTGTTGGTATTAACCCTATTGATTTACTTTGCGCTACACTGGGATGTTGCGGTTTACCATTTGCAATTTGGGGGAGGAAATCTGGCTGAAGATGAATCATGACTCACTTTAGATTAGTGTGTAACTTTTGAGTTCTCCCCCATTCCAAAAGAAGTTTATCGATTTTGGTTAAAACCTCTTCGCTCTGACTTCTTCATGTATAGGGACTAAGTTTAAGTAAATTAATAAGTTTGCTTAATTTGAAGATTTGTTGATTTATAAATTCACTACAATGACTACACATAGTACGATGACATTTTGTAGACAAGTGTGATAATGTGAGGTCATAAATTTTACTTAACTTTTCTTAAATTCCAATAGAGTTAATTTTTTAATGCTTGATCAAGCATTAAAAAATTCAAGCTTGAAGTCTTCTGCATTCTTCCGGTTTTCCCCGCCAATTGTACATGTCACCTTCTTAAGTGATTTATCGTTAGGTTTTTTTAAACGACAGTATAGTTCAGTTGTCTTGCTAGTTCTATCTACGAACTCCTGTGACTATTGTGCAGGACTATGACCCAAAAATGAACTGCAAAATGTCCAGAGAAGGTTCACACGCCTTATTGATGATATTGGAACACTTCCTTACAGTGACAGGTTGGATGCCTTACAGATTACAACACTCGCAGAGAGACGGGTTAGAGGAGATTTGATTGAAGCCTACAAAATTGTAAATGGATTGGTTGAGTATGGAAAAGATATTTTCAATTTAAGTAGATCGGGAGATAAAATTGTTAGCACTAAATCTAACAATATTGATAGAAATATTAAAACCTTGTCTAATAATTTTTTTATCAGAGCGTGTTATCAGCTTTTGGAATAAATTGCCATCTTTTGTTAGAAATTCAGTGTCTGTTATTGATTTTAAAATTAATCTAGAAGAATTTAAAAAGACTAATAATTTAGTAGACACAGGCAACTTTTGGGAAGTGTCAAATATAGTTTTAGCAAAAATAGAGGGTGTAAATTATATCGAAAAGAAGAAGCAACAAGTCCAATATTTATATAAAAATCCGTGTGTTGCCAAGAGAAAGGGAATAAATATCTCATGAATTTGTTTTTATTTATTTATTTTTTAAATTAACGGTTTTTAACTTTTTAAACTTTTTTATATGTAAATAAATTATGACAATTATGTTAGTTATAGAATTTGTTTGTTTTTTAATGATGAAGGCTGTGAAATGTTCACAGTTCTGATAATGAGGAAATCAGAAAGAATGTTTAAAACTAGTGATGATGTTTATGTCATTATTCTTAATCTAATCTAATCTAATCTGCATTCAGGAAACGAAGCAGTTTCCTGAAAACAATTATGTTGGCGCATGGTCAATGGTTAGAGCTTTCGCCTGAGCAGCACCTTTAACCCTCCTTATAGCTGACATTTCTTGATTGATGCTTTATGAATGGAGATGTTCCAACGCCATTCCTCCTGCGGTATTGAAATCTAGTGGTGTGAAGGGGCCTGTTAATAATATGATAAATTAGTAGTTATTTTAGATTTATTAAAGAGCGGTGTGAGGATAGCTCTTTCTACATTTAAGACCTTCGTTACATACACGATCTTGTTCTTCTCATGTGTCTAATACGTCTGTGAAATGCTTTTGTCACTTTTGGACTGATCTTGAGGGTGAAGTTCCCTTGTACCTGTGAATGCTCTGTCTAGCAGCGATCAGCTCTCACAATGAAGTCTATCCTTGCACAATGAAGTCTATCGGTACCATTCGATAATTTGAGTGTTAGTGGTACTGAAAGGAGCGGAGTCTCTGTTTCAACATCTTTGCATCTGATAACTTTTAAATTTTTTTTCTAGTTCAAAATTTAAAACACTGATATAGAAATGTGATACTATTTTCATTTCAACATGTTTAGGATAAAACAGTTTTCGATTGAAAACTCAAAGTTGTCCTTTAAAAATGTGTTATTATAATAGGTTATATGGAAAGTAAAAACTGAAGGATGCTGTGTACAAAATTCAGCCGGGGTGCATTCCCTAAGCTTATCTCGAGCTTTCGTGGGTTGCAACAACTTGATCTAGAAAATGAACTTGGTCTGGGCTGGGCTATAGATCTCAAGAAGGTATGTCTCAGTGTTAGATTATTCAAGAACATAACTTTTATTGATCAATAATCAGCAAATATTTACATATTTGTTCTATGATTATAATAACTTATACTAATACTATGGATAATGGATATTGATTAAAGAAGAACGTATATACATGATCACAAGCCTTACATTTCGATCACAGTGATTTTGAAAATTGTGCGTTCAGAAATATTGGTAGCAATGGACCATTTCCGTTACCTATGTATTGTGCTCTGCCAATTGCATCACTTGATTTAATTGAATGTATATATTGTTTGAAACTTTATCTAGCTAGTGATGCTAAGTGAGTGCTCTCCTTTAAAAAAAACTATTGTATTGTAGAGTTACTGAAGAAGTCAGATCTGTCGTAAATGACCTGATTTCTTTACAGGAGGTAAAAGCGGGTCTGGCAGATAAGCCTGCAATGAAAGACATTGTAAATTACTACTTCAACAAAGCTGCTCCCATCTGTGAAGAGGAGTGCCTCAAGAATTTTAGAATTGGTAGCTATGAAAAATCTCTTCAAATGATTAGGTGAGTGTGGTTTTAAGTGCTAATTAATGAATCTCATGGCTACTGCAGACCAGTATAAGTCTAAAACAGCTGTATTATAAGATGATACAGCTAATACAGATAAAATGTTCGGATTGATGCTAGAAGGCTGTGCATCATACCGATACAATGCAAAATGAGCCATTTCTAAAGTACTCTAAAAATAAAGCAAGAAAACCAAAACATTCTCTCACAGAGAATTCCACTACACAGGGGAACACTGGGTGTGATAAAACCGTGTAACAACGTCATAACAATCTCGTTTCCCCTTCGTCGGGAGAGCGGAGAGATAGAGACGATAACTGGTTTCAGATCCCAGCATTCTCATCATCGTACTCCAACTAAAGGTGGTCTCAGGTATTTTACTACCTTCATCTCTTGGTCAATTTCTTTTTTGATCCCTTTATTTCAAATGCCTTGTTAAATCTATTAGCATCTTCGATATCCAAACTATGTGTATTGCATGAGCTAAGAAACAAATCTAGTTTAATTAAAATTTGCCGAATCCACGAAATTCCTTTTAACATTTTTTTCATCTCAGGTTCTCAGAATCGATAGATGTAAGTACAATCGACTGCCTGGCTCAAATTAACAGTTTCACGTGTTCCCTGATGGACGTTCCCTTTGGAGGTGCTAAGGGAGGAGTAAAGATAAACCCTGCTAATTATACTAATAGAGAGCTGGAGAAGATAACGAGACGTTTCACTGTCGAGCTCGGCAAGAAAGGGTTTCTATTTTCACCACTTGATTTATCTTGCTTTTCTAAGTCTCATATCTTTATATAATAAAATCTATACGTAATAAAATGTCCAGCTACTGCCACTTCTATGCCATGCTAATAAAAATTCAACAGGTTTATTGGACCGGGAATAGACGTGTTGGGACCTGATCTAGGAACCGGAGAACAGGAAATGAACTGGATAGCTGACACATACCGTAATACTCTGGGATCCCAGGACTTAAACGCCACCGCTTGTGTTACGGGCAAATCTCAACTTATGGGTGAGTATTGAGTAGTCACTAGTCAATACTATTTCTTGTTCTAATTCAGACACCAGCCTTAAGGGGTACCAATATGAGCCAGTAGCAAATGTCTCTCATCTGTTTAAGATTTTAAATAAATCTCCCAAACACAACAGGTGGTATCCACGGTCGAGAAAGTAGTGCTGGTAAAGGACTCTACTTAACCACATCTCACTTCCTGGACAACGCGGACTTCATGAAGATAGTCCAGCTTATTCCTGGGGTCTACAGCAAGTCTATCATCATTCAGGTTAATTATTTTATTCACTTATTAAACTACTTCGAACAGATGGCTATTTAATATTTATAAGCGCATTATATTTAAAAGTTATTTAAATGACCGGTATAGTATTTGTAACACTTCTCTACTACAGGGATTTGGTAACCTGGGTAAGCACACAAGCAAATACTTCTCCCGGTATGGAGCTAAAGTTATTGGTATAATAGAGAAGGATGCTTCTTTGTATAACCCTGAGGGTATCAATCACCAAGCTCTTCAAGACTGGGTCAGTGAACACTTTCTATTTCTTTTATCCATCGGTAGAAGTTCACGTCGTGAAATCTCCGTTATTTTGTATAAATTCAACCGTTTTTAACTTTCTCATTCTTTGAGCTGTCATCTATACCTGTTTTGTCTATCTCTTCAATCTTCATGAATAGAAATCAAATTAACAAAAAAAAAGCAAGTTTTTATGTCAATCTTGTCCAGGTGGAACAAACAGGATCTATAAAAGATTTCCCCGGAGCAGAAATGACAGACAGAGATCTTCTCCACGAACCTTGCGACATCCTGATACCTTGCGCCGTTGAGAGGATTATCACCAGTGACAATGTCAACAAGATTCAAGCTAAGATTATTGTTGAAGGAGCTAACTGTACTATGTCCCCGATGGCGTATGAAATGCTGCTCAAGAAGAATGTTCTTATCATTCCTGACATCCTTGTTAATTCCGGTACGTGATTTTCCCTAGTCAGCCACATGGGGTTTTCTTTTCCCTCTCCATATAACATATATCCACATATCATAATGTAAATTAGGCTCTAGCCTGATTTCCGATTTAAGCATTTAAATAATTTTGGCGGCGTACCAGGGAAATCGCACTGATAAGAATCGTTTTTATCAACATCATTCATTATCTACATAACATAGCGACTAGCGTACAGAACTTTCTAGCTCTAACTTCATCATGGGTTGTTTTAGTTCAGCAGCAACGGAATCCGGGAACAATACCAATAATACCAAACATTCCAGGTAGCGTTTGCAGCTCGTACTTTGAGTGGCTGAAGAACATGAGACACGTTTCCTTCGGGAGACTCACCTTCAAGTATGAGCGTGAGGCAAACCAACATCTCCTCAACTCTGTTCAGAGCTCTATTGAGACTCTCTTCAATATTGATTGTCCCATCATACCATCCGCTGGTTAGTATTTTACTTACATTTTCTGATGTACTGGTTATGGGACTTGTTTTTGTGAAGTGGCTTATTTCAATGTATGTCCAAGTTGGTGTATAATTAGATAAGTAAAGTTGCTGAAAGAAATATTATTCCCAGATTTTGAATCGAAGATGTCCGGTGCTTCTGAGAAAGACTTTGTAAACAGCGGTCTCTCGTACACTATTGAAGGTAAGCCTGAAAAAACCTTACTTGTCTACCATTTCCAGTTTCCTCATTGTGCTTGTACAGATCAGCAACCTCTACTTTCCAAGACATATTTCTGATAATTCTAGTTTCTAGTATCAATATAATTTGGAAAATTCTATCGATATCAGTTAAAGGGGTTAAAAGTTGTCTGAACTCTAATACTTATCAGTGAAACAATACTCCACTTCTCAGCAAGTTGCAAATTCTAAACCTAATTAAAATCTCACATTACCAAACTCCTACCTATACTAATCTCCAAACCCTCACAGGAACTGTTGACGACGTTAACAAACTGAGAAAAAGACACGATCTAGGTCTGGATCTCCGTCAGGCTTGTTATGTTCTAGCTATGTCTAAGATAGTGACAACCTACGCTACTGCTGGCTACACCTTCACGTAGTCAGGTATGTTTTGGCATGTTGAAATTTGTATTATATTTGTTTAAAAATCATATGATGCATGATTTATTCATTAATATCGTAGATTTATGGTCGACTTTTAATCATAAAAAGGTTCAGAATTTTGAGATTTTTGGGTTTTATGTTAAACTATCAAACCAAATTCGAACTTCAGTATTTTAAATCTTAAATTGATTTGGTATAACGATTAGCTGATTTTAATTAACTTATTGATTTATAAAACCTAATAGAGAATAAAACTTTTCCGCTAATACGATTTTTTAACCTTTTGAGGGAGATTCTTTTGGAAATATTATAATCGATCCTGGTAATATTTACCCTTTGATATTACATTTTTATATGGAGGTTCCAGGGTTGGAGAAACTCGAGAATTATCTGTAATAATAAGAGAAATATTATATATTTTTGAAAAGTAAATGTTAAGTGTTCAGTATGTTTAGTAGAGTTCATTTTGTATAAATTTTTAAAAAGAATGGAGATCCGAGTTTCTTTCCTCTAGAATCAGCTGGAACTGGCAACCAGTGTAAACGTTTAACAAATTAATAACGTTTAAACAGCTGCAACTGGCAACTAGTGTAAACGCACAACAGATAAGGAACGTTTTAACTTATTAAAATTCTCGATTACATGCTTGGTAGGTATTTGCACTGGCAAGCATGCAGCAGAGGGTATTGCTTCTCAACATACGATTGTTCTGCGTGATAATCGCTTAAACTTATCTTATTCTGGCATGATGGAATTATGAGTCAGGTACAAATAAATATTCAATTTGTACGAAAATAAGGACATCTGGAAACAAGTTTATGACAAGATCAGTTACGTAGATATTTGAGTAGTGCAAAGTTGATAACTGTACATTTGACACTACTTATCAGTATGTATTAAACAAGTGTATTACTTTACAGCTATAATATTAACGATATTGTACTATTGACTATTGTACACGACAAACCCTGATTTAGCAAGCGGTTTCTTTCTCAGGTCCCCCGAAAGTTATAATTTACTGGGTGTGTTCTTTAGTATTTACCGGGATTATTTAGTATTTACCGGGATTATTTAGTATTTACCGGGATTATTTAGTATTTACCGGGATTATTTAGTATTTACCGGGATTATTTCATTTCTCCGACAACTCCGTTAAATCGGATCCGACTGTATAGCACTATACGACTGTATGTATGTGAGTAGAGATATAAAGATATAAAGAGAGTATACTCGCAGTATTTTGTTACAGTGCCTCCTAACTTGACACAACATACCACTGCAACTACTGTACTTTAGCAGGCTTCTGTTCGTTGCTTTACACTCCTACTTTGGTACTTGCTATACTCGGTAATACACCGTTTATCGCTTACTCCAGATTATCGTTAGGTAATTACCGAGTGGTAATTGCCCCATTACGGTAATTACACTCTGTCCGTTGCCTGGTGAGATATTTAGTCGTTGGCAGTAGATTCTGCAGTACATGTGTGACGTGTGGTGCAGTGTGTGGGTTAATGTTCTGTGTGGTTGTGGTAACTTTCAATGCTTACATACAACTTTTATTTAGTGTAAGTATGCACAATGAGTATTAACTATACATAGTTTGTCGCAGTATTCACAGTGCAGTGTATACTGTGTGTATTGAATTGTGTGCTCCACCCTGTATTACTTACATCACAGTGTTTAATGTTAATCTGCAGTGTTCGTTTCCTTACTCTCCTTTATCTGGTGTGAAGTTAGTTTAACCGTGTGTTGTTTTAGCGTCCCTTTTTTTGTGTGTCTTTTTTCATACTCAGTGTGGAACAGGCTGTAGATCTGTTGAATCCTTTTAAGTTTTTATCAGTTTTTCTGTCCAACCTGTTTCCGGTATAAGGCCCAAAGCAAAATATTCTTCAAACCATGGTAACCTGTGAAACTGTATGAACCGTTTTATTATTTAGCCATTTAACCGTTTCATTATTTAGCTATTTAACCGTTTTATTGATCAGCTATTTGAACTATTTAACTTATTAACCAATTAATTAACCAACCAACTAATTAACGAACCAACCAACTAACTAACCATTTATCGTAGCCAAGATGTTCAGTAAGGGAGTAGCACTAAGACATGTGCTCAGAAGGGCGCCCCTCACACAGACTAGGTGTATGGCTGATAGTGGCTGGCGTAGTGATGTAGAAGAAGTAAGTAAAAGTTTAACTAATTAATTGATAAATAAACTTATCGAAAAATTAAATGATTGATTTATTTTCCGATTGATTTATCTATAATGAACTTCTTATTTATTGATCAATCCACGTGGTCAGGACATGAATATTTATAAGTATTTAAGAACAGTTAACTGACCAGGTAATTTTCCCAGGTAAGAAAGATAGCACTGAGTGAAAATCCACCCTTCTCTACAATTGTTGATTACTACTTCAACAAAGCAGCTCCTTATGCAGAGGAGGCGATCAAGGCTCAGACTCGCAGTACTAAGATGCCAACTGAGATCAAGAACCGCCTCGTCTCGGTGAGAAATTTAATTAATTAGCTCATTAGGGAACTGACTAGATAATTATTGAAAAATTTTCGGTATGCAAAACTATGCGACATGACATTCCACAAACTAAACATAGAAAAATGTCTAATTCAGCATAATAGTTTTTGATAATTCTTAATAAAAACCTAATAACTTTTGTCTTCAGGGTGTACTCTCAGATTTGAAGCCATGTAACTCAGTTCTGTCCCTCTCCTTCCCTCTGAGGCGAGATAACGGAGAAATTGTAACCATCCACGGATACAGAGCCCAGCATTCCCAACACAGGACTCCTTGCAAAGGAGGTCAGTTAATTAGCTAGTTGGTTAACTAATTTATCGCTAATTAGGTTATCAATGTTTCATTCTAAATGATTTCATGGCATTAAATTCCTTTTCCTGTAGAAATGAAATGACATTCCTTTCCTCAAGGAATAAAATAACATTCCTTTTCCCCCAGGAATGAGGTTCAGTGATGAGGTACACGAGGACGAGGTTAAAGCTTTGGCTAAACTCATGACCTACAAGTGTGCTGTGTGTGATGTACCTTTCGGTGGTGCTAAGGCTGGAATCAAGATCGACCCAAAAAGTAAGTGTTATTTCTCTTATTTTTAGTGTTTTTAAAGTCATGCTATCAAGTCGAAGTCTCTGGTGAATATTTAACCTCCTTCATCTTCATCAGATACAGTTTATGGCCCTAATTAACCAATAACCCCATTTAACAATCTTAACAAGTTCATCACCCTATCAGTGTTCTCTGATATGGAGTTGGAGAAGATCACTAGGAGGTTCACAGTAGAGCTGGCAAAGAAAGGATTCCTGGGACCTGGTATTGATGTGCCAGCTCCTGACATGGGTACTGGTGAGAGAGAGATGAGTTGGATGGCAGACACGTACAAGAACACAATTGGAGTTACTGACCTCAACTCTCACGCTTGTGTCACTGGTTAGTCTTTAGCACGTGATTTGTTTGTGTTTTTAAGGGTTTTAGAGGGAAATCAAATCTTTCAATAGAAAGAATCTGTGGACCTTTGAAAATTCAGTTAAAGATTATGCCAACTTTGCCAAGTACAAGTTTGCAAAACTTGATAAAAAGATATCCTTGTATTTAAACTATGATATAAATATATCCTTGTGTTTCAGGTAAGCCAATAGTAATGGGAGGTATCCACGGCAGAACCTCAGCTACAGGACGTGGTGTTTACCACTCTACCAACATATTTGTGGAGGACCCTGAGTTTATGGAAATGGTTGGACTTGTTCCCGGACTTTCAGGAAAAACTTGCATCTTACAGGTTAGCTAACTTAATGACTCTTACAATTTTCTGTTTTAAATTCATATCGGAATTGATGAAATGCGGATACTTATACTGGATATTAGGAAAGAGTCCATCGCGAAATATTGATGACCTTCTATCCCGTTTTCTTTCGTCGCGATCACATGACCTCTCACGATCACATGACCTCTCCCAGGGTTTCGGTAACGTAGGTCTGCACACAGCACGTTATTTCCACCGAGCAGGAGCTAAGATTATCGGAGTTATCGAGTGGGACGGCAGTATTTACAACCCATCTGGTATCGACCCTAAAGCTCTCGAGGTTAGCATATTTCTACTGCCTTATTTATCTGGTTTATTTATTATATGGTCTCTTACTTGTGTTTAGCTGATTTCATTATATTATATAGGGTATATACTGCTGAGTGTTTCTACTCCATTCGGCAGAGGCTGTACTGACCAATTTCGATCATTTTGATCTGTATCGTATGTATCCGCGACGCGACTGTTGCTCTCAAAGAACTATCAAAGAATTTACGACTAACAGAATATATCCCCGTGTAGGGGGGGTTGCAACGACCATTAATGTCAGTAGATGGAATTTTGTCAAAACTGACATTGTCATTAATGGTCATTAATGGTCATTAATGGTCATTAATGGTCATTAAATAATTGAAATTCTGAACTATCTTGGAAGCAACATGTCCAAGAAATTTACAATTATGATCACTTTGTATCACTTCTATAAAGTTAACCACTGCCCATACCCGGGGAAAAACATTATTCCCAAAGCGATGGAATAAGCACCAAGATAAAGGTGAAATCGTGGAGCAGGGAAGCACAATTAAGATGAATAAGCTTCTAGACAGCATGAAAAGGGGTTCAAAATCGGGTGAGTTGCTGTTCTCCTCATCTTCTGGGTACAAAAAGTCCTACTTGAATAGTGACAGTGATTTAATTCGTGCGAAGGCCAACCGTGTTGCATTGCAGTTTTCCGAACTGTACCCTGGTGATGATGAAAGAGAAGAGGAATCAGATAATGAGTCAGATTTCGTCGCACCAGATAGTGAAAGTGAAGACAAGGATCTTCATGACTTAGTTACTATAAAAGACAAGAAAATCAACAAAAACGGGAAAAACACCGCTATTACGAAGTTCTGTAATTTTGGTAAGACGATATTTGGAAATAAAAGTCGGAGATCGAAATTTTTTGGTACCGGCTGTTTGCTGTTTCGAGGGTTCTGTGCCATACCAACCGGGCTGCAAAAATTCTTCTAAGCCCTGTCAACGTCGAACAATTCGAAAGGGCGACTCATTAAGTGCTACCTTTGTTCCAAAAAAGGCTAAACGTCCCCTTCGTTGCCTCGGTACCATCTTATCAATGAGTGTTTCTGCTTCAAAAAAGGGCAACTGCAGATCTAGACGAATTCCTGCCGCATCAATTTGTCCCTATCATGATGACAGTGCTCGATTTTGGGTCAAAACTGCCGAAGGCAGAGTATTGAACTGTAAACGAATTGTTCGATATTTGGAAATAAAAGTCGGAGATCGAAATTTTTTGGTACCGGCTGTTTGCTGTTTCGAGGGTTCTGTGCCATACCAACCGGGCTGCAAAAGTTCTTCTAAGCCCTGTCAACGTCGAACAATTCGAAAGGGCGACTCATTAAGTGCTACCTTTGTTCCAAAAAAGGCTAAACGTCCCCTTCGTTGCCTCGGTACCATCTTATCAATGAGTGTTTCTGCTTCAAAAAAGGGCAACTGCAGATCTAGACGAATTCCTGCCGCATCAATTTGTCCCTATCATGATGACAGTGCTCGATTTTGGGTCAAAACTGCCGAAGGCAGAGTATTGAACTGTAAACGAATTGTTCTATCTAATCCTAGGAAAAGATCAGCATTTTTGTTGTCCGATTCAGACTGATGACGATGTATTTCATGAATAGAAGTGCTAAAGTTGAATAAGTTCATCTACTATACTGTGTAATTACTATATAATCGACTAGCATAATGATTTGGCTAAAATATAAATCTTGATATGATATAAGAACGGGAACGAAGTATTTAATTTTAATACCCGTGTTATATTTATTTTATTATTGATTGTTATTTTACTATTGATACGATCTGATACTCCTAAATTGCCCTTTGAATTATTATTATTGATAACTATAAGTCACCAACTGTTATCTGGTTTAAATCCCGTGGCTGCAAAATTTGTTCTTCATTACATTCGAACTTAATAAATGTAATCCCCCACTCAAGTGATATTCTGGAAGGTCTGCCTAACCACGGAAGATTCTATCCTAAGTTTTCTCTTTCGAATCTCTAATTGTAAATGTAAAATAATAACATATACTTGTAGTTAGTTAACTTAAGGTAGGGTCTAAGTGATGCAGGCGTCCGTCCTTTTCGCTCTAAGAAGTGCCGGAAAAAACATGACCATTAATGTCAGTAGATGAAATTTTGACAAAACTGACATTGTCATTAATGGTCATTAATGGTCATTAATGGTCATTAATGGTCGTTGCAACCCCCCCCCCCCCCCCCCCCCCCCCCCGTGTAAAATGACACCCTCCCAGTGATCTAACCCTTATACTCCCCCCCAGGACTGGAAGTTAGAACACGGCACAATTACAGGATTCCCCGGAGCTACTGCTACTGATGAGGATTTGCTGGAGGGAGAGTGTGATATCCTGCTACCTTGCGCTAAAGAAAAGGTTTGTACTTGTTTTCAGTGTAGTTTAGATGGAGGATGACCCAATATTTTTTGAAATTCCGATGTTAAATGTCTTGCATTTTTAGGCCAAACATGAAAGTAAACACATCGAATTCCCACATTTAAAACTTTCATCGGATGTGAGATATTCCGGCTTTGTTGAAACCTACCACTATGCTACAGGGCTACTACAAATATGTAGTGTGTACGAGTGTAAGGTAATTAGGTTCCGATAACAGTAAAAAAGGAGGAAACAGGTGTGAAACATGAGAACTAAATAGCCACCTTCGGCCCACTGACTAATGGGCCCTATTAGTTAACGAGGCCACCCTATACCTAGGCCCTATTAGCTAACGAGACGAGACTGTAGGATATATCAGACAGGTTTATTAGGTTTTGACATGTACGTGACTGTACACCACCAGTCTGATAGATATGTAAACTTTATAATAGCGTGTGAAATTGTGGTTAATGAGAAAGTTGTGCTTGATAGCAAGGATTGTATAATTTCATAATTTCTTTGTCCTAGCTTGAGTCTTAATTCAGTTTATCCACTTCACTTTGTTGCACGCCTTGCTTATTGAGCTGAGCTAAATGGTGCCGTTTTGTCACAGTCAGTAACCAGTTGCAGTGGTAACGTGCCCTTATTCTTCAGTTGTTACAAGGGGGATCAGTAGACCCTTAAGTTTAGGGGATATCTGAAAGATAGGGCTTATTCCCACTTGCAGGTAAATAACGCGCACTATCTCCCAGGTGATAACAATAGATAACGCACACAAGATAAAAGCACGTGTAATAGCTGAAGGAGCTAATGGTCCTATCACCCCTGCTGCGGATGAGATTCTTATCGCTAACAAGCAACTTGTTATTCCTGATATCTACTGCAACTCCGGTTAGGGTTATTATTTTGTTTCTTATCGGTTTTTTGCTATTGACATTTTACTGTTGAAATCACAATCTTGTTCAGCAAATTTCGAATCATTCTTTACACAATAGGCAAGAATTTGTTTGCTATTGTGATACTACGATATAGATCAATTAGCTAGTTAATTAAATAATTAATTAACTAATCACTTGTCAGGTGGTGTAACCGTATCTTACTTCGAGTGGTTGAAGAATTTAAACCACGTCAGTTACGGTCGTCTTACCTTCAAATACGAGTTCGACTCAAACAAACATCTTCTCCAGTCTGTGCAGAGTTCTCTTGAGAGCAGGTACTTTCACTTTCACTTTCTCTTGTTGTTTCGCTGATAAGTTTGTTTCACTGATACCCTTGTTTAGAACTGTTTGTTTCATTCTTCATCTTACACTGTTTATATATAAGTGCTTTCTTCAACGAGATGTAAGTTTACCGTGGCCGTGTTGTATTTTAATGAATTCTGGGATTTTACTTGTTGAAGAAAGAAATTTTAATGCATTTTTGATATTCCGCTTCAATATTCATTTGTATTCGTTCTTCGTTGACGTATCAATTGAATGGGCCTAGAGAGATTCTTGTTTTAGCTCAGCTCTGGCGGTTTCTTACCGATGGCAAACTTAAATAACCCTGATACATATTTTCGCCTATTCACCTAAATCGATTAGATCAATCATCCAATTAACAAATCAGTTAATTAATTAATTAATTAATTAATTAATTAATTAACCCCTGTGTCCAGGTTCTCAGGAAAGATCCCAGTAACTCCAACCCCTGAGTTTGAAGCAGCTATGGGTGGTGCATCTGAGAAGGATATCGTACACAGCGGTCTATCTTACACTATGGAGCGATCTGGTGGGTTATTAGATAATTAATTAATTAATTATTTTATTAATCAATTAGACAGATAACTGAGTGATTACGGCTCTTATTAATTAATTCATAAATCTTCTTGCTAATGAACTATTTGTACCTATTTAATTTGTATCCCTCCCTTGTTTCAATATCTTAACTTGTTATCTCTGACGGAGCTCTATCTATTTAACAGGTAAAAAGATAAAGGAAGTAGCGCTCCAGCACGACCTCGGAGTGGATTTGAGAACTGCTGCGTTCGTCTTGGCTCTGACCAAGATATCCAATAACATCATCATGGCTGGTTTCACGTTCACGTAAATCCAGGAGTTTCACTTTCACCTAGAATTGGAGACTCGGAATTTATTGGAGCTGGATTGAACTTGTAGCTGAAGTTTTGGAATGAGGCAACAAATAATATTGATATTTTGCAATGATTGATTGAATGAAATCTGTTCCTAGATTATGATATATTTTGAGAGGATCGATTTTGATGTAAGCTACCCGTTTCTGAACCATAATTTATTGCGGTATTTGTTTAAGAGGTAACGAATGATGAAAATTATGTAAATTATGAATATGATATAAATATTGAATATGATAGTTAGAATTATAATTCGAGTTAGGCAGTCTTTTCTAGGGAAAGTAATTATTATCTATCAAAATGTGGACGACCATTTGCATTTCCTAGCTTAGGTACCTCTTAGTTTTTTCTCTTAAGTATAATTCTGTATTTAACAGCGTTTTCCGCTGTATTTATTTTTGCTCGGTGATATATATAGCAAGTTACTTAATTATTTTAAGTTAACCACCAAGCTATTATTTATCGCATGTTGACCTTAGGTTACTTAGTTAATTCATAATTAGTAGCATAATTATTTCAGTTACAGTCATGTATTACCTACAATTCATCTCACTGATCATACAAAAAAAATGTTATTACAAAAAATAATGTTATTTACCCCTATACGTATTCGGCATATTTCGGATATTTGAAGTTTGATCCTGTTTTAGCAGTGAAAATTGTAAATAATACTTAATTAAATATATGTGTATAAAGAGTAAATTACTCTAAAATTCCTGATTGCGGGGGAAATTAAAATTATTCTGATTAAATGTCATTCAATAAACATAACACTTGTCCTGCCTTATGATGATGAAATAAAATGAAAATGAAATCCATGGGGCGGGTATCAAACATCAAATATTTGAAATATGTGATTATTAATGAGGATTGAGTTTATGTACAAAGTTTTGTTCTGTTCATCGTTAATTTTGCCTAATTACATTTTGGTTTGATAAGATACCCATTTGATAACTCGTCCGACTATGAATGATTACCTGTCTTCCATGATTATAAATCCTGTTGCTGTGTAATAATAAATATTTCACATTGCTAAAATTTTATTTTATTTCAGTTGATGTTAATTGCTAATGTAATCAGTCAATATATCTAAAATCTTAACTAAAACTTTAATTTAGCCTCTTTCAAAATGGTCACCCTTGAAAAGAAGAAGAAGACCAAAAGATCAGTGGAAGCAGTCATTGCAGAGGCCAAAAGTGCGGTCGTAGAACCAGCAAAACCCGCCAAGGTGAGGCTTTGATTAATATTTTATTTTAAATCCCCTTTTCTTGACCTTGATTAACTTTACTAGTCTAAAACATAATGATCTTAGCAGTCTAACTAAATTTTAGCTTAATTCTAAATTGTAACCAACTTGTGTGCCTCAGAAAAAGAAGAAATCAGTCCCTGTGGCTGTGGAGGTTGCCGCTCCTGTAAAGAAAGTGAAGAAAGCAAAGGCCGTAGAAACACCTGCGCCTGTCCCGGTTAAGAAAACCAAGAAAGCCAAGGTAAGCGCCAGATGTCCAGAATTCAAACACGCCAATAATTATGAAACCATGCCTGTAGGACCATTTTCATATACAGCGCCTCCTCGTGGCCCGTTCTGACAAATGTCATGCGTCTTGACTTTTGCCATGTTTTTTACCGGTCACAACTTTTCTCAAGCATCTTTTTCTACTAGCTATCTATCTAGACGCTACAGTTGTCAACATTTTACTGGTCCCTTTTTCCGCGCAAACGCGCGCTATTTCCATGTGAGCGAAACTCGAGGCCTGTGTTTAGTCCGCTTTGTCCGCATATTCATGACGTAATCTTCCCGCTTCTTTGATCTTATTACTTTTTGATGTCGTTTTAATATTAAGTTAACTCTCAGGCTAATGGAGCCGCAGCTGCTGGTAACGGTGCCGCAGCCGCTCCAGTGAAGAAAGCCAAGAAGAAGGCCGCCCCTAAACCACCTACTCCACCACCAGCTGAATCAAGCTCTGAGGAAGAGAGCTCTTCAGATGAGGAGGAAGAAGCAGCTCCAGTAGCCGCCGCCCCTGGTATGTGTGACTGGTATTTTATGTGTAGTACCTCACCGTTCTGTCAATACTCATCTAAATTGTATCCACGAAATATGGAATGTGGATTCATCTCTTGATCTAAGTTTTGGCGAAATAGATGTTTTTTGTTTATTGTTTATGCATTCAAATACTGGGGCGTCATTGCAACTCGCTATTTGCTCGGGAAATTGTTTCGGCGAAAACTAGTTTGTAGCATGTTTTTCACAATATTTGGCTTGGATTGGGGAATACCGTTGGTTCACCTTTTGATACTGCTGAAAAGTTGATAGCGACAATGGTGATGACGCCCCTCAAATTGCTTGAATTAAGTATGTCGACCTAGGGACTGCAATTGAAGTGTTTCAAACTGTTGAAATCTCAGCCTCAGGTTTAGTAGCTCCTGCTAAAGAGGAATCCAGCAGCGAAGAATCAGACAGCGACGAAGAAATCAGTAAAGCAGATGCCATAAAACAAGCTGCTGCTGTCGCTGTCAAGGAAGAATCCAGCTCCGAGGAAGAATCTAGCTCTGAAGAAGAGGAAGAAGCTGCCGCCCCAGCTCCAGTCCCTGCTCCTGCTGCTGAAGAATCTTCATCTGAGGAAGAATCTAGTGACGAAGAAGCAGCACCTGCTGTTGTAGCTGCTCCAGCAGCGGAGGAATCTTCTTCAGAAGAAGAGTCTAGTGATGAGGAAATGGAAGTAACACCAGCTCCCGCTGCTGCTGAAGAATCTTCATCAGAGGAGGAATCTAGTGATGAGGAGGAATCAGCCGCTCCTGGTAATTCTATTACAGTAGAGGATTTAATAGTTGTCCCCTGTAAGGATAACATCCCGATCACCTGCTTCTAATCAAAACAATTTTCTGATCACCGCGCTGAGGCTCTTCGAACATAGTAACGGGACTACTAATAAATCCTCCACTGTAAATGAGATTATCGTTGGTTTTATCGACTAAGAAGAAAGTTGTATTCAACACTCACGAAGATAGCGACGAGATCAACACGTCCAAACAAGAAGAATAGAAGACATCTAATTCTTGTTATACTTTAACAAGGAGGGTCCAGCTACTATCCAACTATTTGCCCCAAATTTCCCCTATAAACGAAATTGTTGAAAATACTAAGTACTACTGGATAGTTCTAAAATGAACGGAATGAGCAAATTTACGTATGACTTTATAATGTGACTGTGAACAACCAAGTAGCCTTAACCTCAAGAAAAATAACAAAAATCGCTCTAACAATGCACGTAAAATACAGCTATATAGGACCATCAACTTTGCCCCAAGAAAGCGATGTTCGCTGGACCCCCCTTAAGTTGAAGAGCATGGTCTTGTTAAAATGGTAGTTCACGTCCGGAAGTCTGAACATAGGCGTATTTCAGTAGCAGCTGTCCCAGCCGCCAAGGAAGAATCCAGCTCAGAAGAGGAATCCAGTGAAGATGAGGAAGAAGTTGCTGCACCCGCTGTAGTTGCTGCACCAGGTAATTATATTTATTCAAATTACTACGTTTAACTCGCATATAAATTGGTCTTTACACGCTAATTTTCCACCCAAATATGAAAACAACTCAAAAAAGCCAAATTGTCGACTAGAATAGCCGAGAGTTGTTGTTATTAATATAAATCATTAACATTTAGCTCACAAAGATCAAAATATTGACCAGTTTCTTCGTGCCGTCAAAAACTAAAACCACTGTCATTTGCATTTGTCTGTAACCAAGTTTGTTTCAGCCGCCGAGGAGGAGTCCAGCGAAGAAGAGAGTAGTGATGAAGAGGAGGAGGCTGCTGCACCAGTAGCTGCACCCGGTAATTTATACTTTGTTTACAGTTAATCTTTAGATAGTTAAAATAAATCATTAGATAGAATCATTAGATAGTTAGAATAAATCATTAAATATCAATAGAATAAGTGCAAAGTTAGCTTGGATAAACTTACCCCGTTCATAACGGGTATAGGACGCAGCGGCGGAAGTCACTGCGGCGGTGTACAGTCCGGCGGAGGACGGTACAGCGGAGGACGGTACGGCGGTAGTTTCCAAAAAGGTTGGACGGTACGGCGGATCACATGACACCCACTTTACTTTGGACAGTACGGCGGTACTACTACTACTAATTACTAAACTGTACCTATAAGATAGACCTAGCACTGCTAATATAACAAAATCGATTAGCTTTAAAAAGGTCTATTTTCCTCTTTGTTACTTCGAAATTAATTTTAATTAAAATTAAATTTGATAAAGTTTAATATATACATTGTGATTACTAAGAGCAGTTCTTGTTCCACTTTCTGGTTCGTATCAGATCGCGTCCGGTCTGCACAACGGTGGTTAAGCGAGTGCACGATGAGCTTGTTACGGTGAGATCTCATATCACTGCGCCGAGATGCAATGGGTAATAACAAGGGCATGAGAACACGTCACGAGGGATCAAATCCAGGAATCTGATCAACCGTAGCCAAGAAGAGAGGTTGCTCAGTGAAACGTAGATAATGATAGAGGCAAACAGTATATAAAGCGGATCAAAGTTGAGGAGATTATCTCATTAGCACTACCATCTCCACTCTCCAGTACTGCAACACAGTGCCGACATAGCTGACCCAACCATCTACAATTTCACCACAGCACTTCAGATGGAGCAGAGTTCAACAGATGGGAAGCACGCAGCCTACCTGGTCGGAGAGAACCCACCGAAGAGGAAGAAAGCTCACAGCGATAAGGACAGGAGGATTCACCGCATCGTGCAGAACTACCACTCTTACGAAGAGGATGTCTTGACTTACCTGGATCTGCTCAGAAGTGTTACGTGAATTATTGATTGCTGTAACTTCTTGATAATGATTTGTGGGATTTAGATATTGCTATTGAGTGTGTCAAGTTATATTAACTTTTTGATTTTCAACAACTCAATATTCTCGATTTACATTGTCTGCAAAGCCCTGAATAAAAAAAATGAACAACTAAACTAACAAGAATTATACAAAATGATAAAGAGAAAATAAAAAATAACTTATAATGCGAATCTAGAACAAAACTTAGAAACAAGTTGAATGTGTAAGTTCTGTCTTAGGTACAGTTAGTAGGGGGGGGGGGGGGGGGTCCAAGGGGAACTTTGGGGAACTTTGGGAAAGTCCCCCAAGATTTCTGAAGTTCCCCAAAAAAAAAGTTCCCCAAAACTCCCCAAAGTTCCCCAAAATTCCCCAAAATTATTCAAAATTATTCAAAATTATTCAAAATTATTCAAAATTATTCAAAATTTCTCTAATATACATTAATACCCATTAATGTTAACATGTATGTTATTATAAGGTATAATCTTAACTTACTTGTTGATACTTGCAGCATGATAATTTTTTAGGCATGATAATTTTTTTGGGGAACTTTGGGAACTTTGGGGAACTTTGGGGAATTTTGGGGAACTTTCTGAAGTTCCCCAAAAAAAAGTTCCCCAAAATTCCCCAAAATTATTTGTTTCATTGATAATTTTTTGGGGAACTTTGGGAAAGTCCCCCAGGTTTCCTGAAGTTCCCCAAAAAAAAGTTTCCCAAAACTCCCCAAAGTTCCCCTTGGACCCCCCCCCTTAGTAGTAGTACCGCCGTACTGTCCAAAGTAAAGTGGGTGTCATGTGATCCGCCGTACCGTCCAACCTTTTTGGAAACTACCGCCGTACCGTCCTCCGCTGTACCGTCCTCCGCTGTACCGTCCACCGCCGCAGTGACTTCCGCCGCAGTGACCGGTTCCCGTTCATAACATGTTCCTTCACTGTTATCCTAAGTTCACCAGACTTAGGAATTTTGTTATTGCAGCGTCTGGTGTAAGTCTGTAACATTACACCATTCCAGCCGCCGAAAAAGAATCCAGCTCAGAAGAAGAAAGCAGCGAGGAAGAATCTGAAGAAGAAGAGAAACCCGCAGCACCCAAACGAAAAGCAGAAGCAGCTGTCGTCCCCGCCAAAGCTAAGAAAGCCAAAAAGGACAGTTCAGATGATGAGAGTTCAGAATATGAAAGTTCAGAAGATGAGAAATCAGCTCCTACCACACCCAAAGCAGCCCCATTCGCCACCCCATCAAAAGACTCAGAACCCGGAAGCATATTCTGTGGACGATTAAGTTGGGACACAGACGCAGAAAGTCTGGCCAAATTCTTTGCAGACAATGGATTCACAGTCGGTAATGCCCGAATTATCTACGACAGAGAAACCGGAAAATCGAAGGGTTTCGGTTATGTAGATTTTGACGACAAAGCTCAGATGAAAAAAGCTTTAGAATATGACGGTTCAGAACTTGACGGCCGAACGATCAGATTGGACGAGAGCCAGCCCCGACAAGTTACCCCTGGAGGTCGAGGAGGAAGAGGTACCCCCCGAGGACGAGGTACCCCCGGACGTGGAGGTCGTGGGGCTCGTACCCCTAACCCTCCCAGTGCTAACATGTTCATCAAGGGTCTGTCTTGGGATACCACTAATGACTCTCTTCATAATGCGTTTGATGGTGCTACTGGAGCCAGAGTTATTACTGACCGAGACACCGGCGACTCTAAAGGGTAAGCGTCTCATTTTTTGCTCCAATATATTCACCATGATGTTATTAATATTAATACCTGGTTGTCACTCTCTAACTGAACATGATATTATGGACTACAAAGGTAAAGTTAACAAGTTCTCCTTATTTTTCTCGTCTTATTCTAATCACACTGTTCACCCAGGTTTGGTTACATTGACTTCCCTGACGTAGCTACAGCTGAGAAAGCCTTTGCGAAAATGCAGGGTGCCCAGGTAGATGGCCGAGCAGTGACACTTGACTTTGCCACGCCTCGTGACAACAGCGGAGGAGATCGAGGTGGTAGAGGTCGAGGAGGACGAGGAGGATTCGGACGAGGAGGTGGTGGTGGATTCAGCCGAGGTTAGACTTTTTCTCCTTCAGAGCGTCGAGATGGTTTATTAAATTAATCAATATCTCGAAATTTCGTTAAGCTGTGTATTAATTCACTCTCGAGCCGTTTTGAAGGCTACTGTATGATAGGTAAAACTATAGTTCATTGGTAATTTTTGCAAATCCTATGAGGTAGAACAATATGAGAACATGATAATTAAAATTTATGTTTTATATTAATATTTAAAACACGTTATTTAACATTGAACTAAATACTTAACTCTCCAGGAGGTCGAGGAGGCCGAGGAGGCTCGAACCCAGCAGCTGCAGCGAACAAAGGTGTCATTCAGGACTTCGCCGGCAAGAAAATGAAATTCGACAGCGATAGCGACTAAATAAAGTCTTTTAACTGTTTTAGTATTTTTATACGATTCAGAGCACAATTTAAATCGGCCTTTTTTCTTTTATTAAGCTAATTTATTTAACTTATTAATATAATCATTATCCGAAAACAATTCGCCGAACTTGATTTCACGTTTTAACTTTTTGTCACATCGTGACACGATGTTGACTTAATCTGAACAAAAGTCCGAACATGACATTTGCTCTGTTATCACAATTTTATTTCCGACGATGTACTTTTGAAACTGAAGTTACTGCTAAAGTGCTGTATTTTTAAAAGTTTTAACTAATTTATTCTATCCGTACGTGTGGGCTTATATTCAACAAAATCTGTAGTGACTTGGGAAATTTATTGCGATCCAGCTCTTGAGATTGATTATTTTAAAGGTTCTGAACCATATTTTCTACTGAACGTTGGCCGTGGTTCGTGTTGTACTTTGGTCATGTTTGTCAATCTTCAACTTTGACACTTTTCAACCATTTTAAATTCGGGAGTCTCTTTTAGTTTACAATTATGAACAAAATAAAGAGCCTTCATTTAAAAACACTAAAATTCCGATATAAGTTTGCCACAATACTATCACATTTTACACGATAAGGGTAACAGGATTGGCGTAAATTTTACTCCTTGATATGAAAACCAAGTTTAATCTATACCTCCTGATCAGTTAAAAGGTACCCTCGTTTACTCTAAACAATAAATTACTTAATATGTACACAGATCAAATTGAGTCTCATCTTCTAAATTGGATACATCCTCAGCAGTAAATGTTCCTTTACAAGTGTCTGTTAAATTACGCTCTCTGTCCTAGTTTAGTCAGCAATTGGAGGCATTGTCTGCTTCTGGTGAGCTGCGACTCTGAAATGAATAAAGATAAGTTAATACTCTTACAAATTCTGGTTAAAGCCAAAAATGTAAAGGTTACATGGGGGCTGAAATTGGCCGAAATCTGGCTGACGTCATGTGTGAACGCTCCCTTAAGTTGATGATTTTTAAATTCAATTTTTAATATGGACGGAAAAATTGAGAGTCCATGAAGAGACCAAGAAGAGGGAAATATTAAATTGAGAGCTGCTCTTAACCATTAACATTGTTGGTGAGTGCAATTGGAGATAGCTACAAACAGCCCTTGCCCCCTCGATACGGAGTCTGAGGTTGAGGTGGCCTCACATTGAGGGTGATAGGCAGGATTAGATGAAGTATGGGGCCCTTGTTTGTGGAATTGTGTGTGAAGGGGCGCCCCGGGGCCAGATTGTGGGCTTCAGAAAAATCGGAAACTGAAATGTTTGACAATTTGGAGGGAGAGATTTAAAGTCGAATGATGGACTGTATTATGTGTATCGGTTGGAAAATTGAAGGCAGGAGAGCTAGTCGGATAGTAGTGAGTTCATAGAGTTATTTTCACTTGCTACACGTTGCAAGGCTTTCTGAGGCTCTCTCGTGCACAAAAAGGGGTTACAACGTGTATCCAATTTTTACACATCGAATGTTGAAGGGTTTTGAGTCCCTTCCGCAAGTTTTAAACAAATGTATAATGTATGCGATCAATTTATTCATAGCAGCTGTAATGAATGAGAGGCCGTAGCAGAGAGGTCAGGGAGAGTGTGAAAACTGGGAGGCTACAGATTTGGTAACCCTGGGAGAATTTAAACTTAGAAACTCGCCTCAGTCGATACTTACAAAGTGTATCGTGGTTACCATGACAACTGTGAATGACGCAATCAACTTTCATCTTTAGTATATGATTTGGCGATCGCGCGTGCCTGTTTTACGCCGAAGGCAGACAGGATAAGAATTGAGTCGCGAATTAAAATCTGAATTCTTTAATCTTGAAAACTATAGTTACTTACACATTTCTAGTTCTGAGCTGATCAATGGTAGCGTTGGTAAACTGAGGCAACAGGAACTTATTAGGAACTTTCAGGTTGGCAGGATGTTCAGGTCTAGGCGGGATGATGGGACCTCCTCGAAGTGCCAAATCTGTAAGTAAGTAGTTAGTAGTTTATTCACAATCAGCTCGTAAAGAGGTCAGTTGGAAAACTATCTAAGAGTTGAACTTGGTATGAATATAAAATATTTGATTTATTGATGAAATAACTTTAAAAAAATAACCAGGGGAGTAGCATATTCAACAGAAAATGCATAAGAGAAGTCAATTTTTGTTTAATCTTCAGTGTTCCAATAATTCGCATGGGTGAAATAAGCAGTTACATCACTGCTTATAATGTGATAACATTATTTTCACAACTTTGAGTTGTGAAAATAGTTTTATCCAACGAGTTTGACGAGTTGGATAAAACGAGTTATATTATATCCCGAGGTTTGACCGAGGGATATAACTCATGTTATCATATTATAAGCAGTGATGTAAATGCATTCTCTGATGATCTACGAAATGATGTTAGCGAATGCAGCATTTACATCGGAAATTAACGACCGATAATATTACTACATAGAACATTCCAGAGTCAAACTTTCTAGAGGACACATCCTTATTCCTTATCTCTTAAAATTGTTACAGGTCGCTGAGATGTTGCTAATTATTTTAAATTGGTCAAATAAGCTCAGTGAAGCTCACACTCACACAAAACTTGCCACAAATGGCTGACTACTTGTTATTGACATTCTGTAAAATTTTGAAGCAAAAATATTTATCAGAACATAAGTTATACCACTTTCTGTTTTTAAAATAATTAGCAACATCTCAGCGACTAAGGATGGACCAGGGAGATAACAATAGTTACATCCCTCCTATTTACCTGTTAATCACAGCCTAAATGTAGTACCAGGGAGATAACAATAGTTATCTCCCTCCCAGTTATTGCACCCCTATTTAATGCATTATATTAGCGTAAACAAGAGTGAGATAACAACTTTTACATTATGGACAGTTACACACTGATCATGAGAGAATTAGATATACTAAATGTGAAGTGTTTGAAAACAGTGATTTTATTGAGATCTTATCTTCTTGACCGGGATAATCCAGTAAACGTTTTCATGTAAAAATTGCGCATCCTTGAGATTCTCATCTTATCTAAGACGGGCCTTATCTAAGACGGCTCCCGCTCAACAAGCTTGTACATTTAACCATTATTTCCGATCCTTCTAACAGATTATCGATAAAATTTACTAAATTTTCATCACTCGTCTAGCATTTTTTCCCCTGCTGATACATCATTCTCGGATAATAATGCAATACACGATGATCTATTTATGATTATAGCTCATCTCTCCTAACCATCATTATTGTTATTTTTTCCTTGAACTACAAAAAGAAATCACTCTCTTCCAAACACTAGAATCAGAAAGAGATAAAAGAGGATATTATTGATATTTATAACCAGTAACTAATTAAGTTACTTGAAATAAATTTAATCAAACACTCCCAAACACTAGAATCAGAAAGAGATAAAATAGGAAACGTGCTCGCTCACCTCATTGATATTTATAACCAGTAACTAATTAAGTTACTTGAAACAGATTTAATTAATTAAACCAGTAAATAATTAAAACAATAACTCACCCTTGTTAATACTCTGAGGTGTAAAGTGAGAGCTGAGATGTTTTGCTGTAGCTGCACGTTTAGTGACCATAGCAGAAGTATCGTGAACTGGATACGAGCTCTTTGTTACTGAACCTGTGGTTACTGAGGTATTAGGGTTAGTAATCTTGTGGCTACTGTGGTGTTAGGGTTAGTAATCTTGTCCGCTACTGTGGTGTTAGGGTTAGTAATCTTGTGGTTACTGGGGTATTAGGGTTAGTAATCTTGTGGCTACTGTGGTGTTAGGGTTAGTAATCTTGTGGTTACTGGGGTATTAGGGTTAGTAATCTTGTGGTTACTGTGGTGTTAGGGTTAGTAATCTTGTCCGCTACTGTGGTGTTAGGGTTAGTAATCTTGTGGTTACTGGGGTATTAGGGTTAGTAATCTTGTGGTTACTGTGGTGTTAGGGTTAGTAATCTTGTGGTTACTGAGGTATTAGGGTTAGTAATCTTGTGGTTACTGTGGTGTTAGGGTTAGTAATCTTGTGGTTACTGAGGTGTTACGGTTAGTAATATTGTGGTTAAGCTTTAATAATAAATAAGATAAGATGATAAGATAATAAGATAACCGACCTGGACCTTCAGCTTCAGCAGCCCATTTAGCCCTCAGCTTATCAGCTAGACCAAACTTGCTTCCGTTTCCTGAAATAAACAAAGTTAATCATTACAATATCCCTGATTATATGTACATGTTCTAAAATGTATGGGATTTCACTGTTATACTTGATATCATCAGGTCTATAAAGTCACCACCAACAGTTTCTATTTACCTTTAGTGGGAACATCACTAGTCTCGGGTAACCAGCACAACTTATGAGGGTCCCAGGTTCTCTTTTCTGGCAGTTGTTTGTTTGCTCTACCATTGTAGTCAACATCGTACCATGAGATTATGTTGCCCTCGTGTGCGTCACCATGGTGACGGAACAGATAGTCCTTGCCAAGTCCCTGTTAAATGTGTACTGTAAGATGTAGGCTGTGAAACGAGTGGATGTTGTAAACGTTTACTATGAATGCTAAATGTAGACTGTAAAATGAGGACATCAAATTGAGTTCTCAGCTAGTCAGTTATTTTGCTGTGGGAGCCCAAAATTTTAAAAATCAAATAAAATATAACTAAATAATTTAAACAATACGGTGCCCATGTCTAAGCGGCTCTCCTTGAAAAAACTTCCTCCCTTATCGGAGCAGAAAGTTTAAACATACACTTGCTTTACAATTTACTCCAAGGACTAGATACTCAATTTATGAATAATATAGTAACAAATATACTGAACCAAAACGAACTTTAATTGACATTTTAAAAACACCTATATGGAATATCGATGTATATCATACATCAATCATTATTATATAATGCTCACACTTATAATTTATCCTCACAAAAAATGTCCTCACAATAAATAATACCACTTCTGATATAATAGCGTCTATTCAAATCTTTCTTTGCCTTCTGTTTCATCTCCAATACCAGCAGATGGTGTCTGGCTTGCTGCTCAGGTGACCGATCCGGATAAATTAAAACTGTTTTGTGATGCTGACTCAGTCTCAGGTCCTTCGATTTCAATAATATCTCACGGAAATTATTAGAATTTGTGACCGATATTTTGACTGATCTCCTTCCAATCCTTACAGCTTCAAAGTGTGGTTTCACTTCGATCTGTTCAAACAGTTCGTTTACTTTATCGGATAGTTTCTCATCATCTGTCTCCTTTAAACACGACAAAATTCCTACTGCGGTTCTCTTTCGATACAGCACTCTGAACTACCTTTTTCGGCGGGACCTTTGAAACAGCTTTACTGTATGACCTGATCTCAGCTTGTACACTTTCCTGAACGGCAGATTCCACGGTGGTCTGAACAGATTCCAACTGCTTTGATTTGCCCTCAAGAAGTTCACTCTGCAGTTTTAAAACCGAATTTTGTGACCGAATAAGAGAGCTCTTCAACTCCTCCACATCTTTTTTCATTTTGTTAGCTTCTCTATCTAAATTTGATTTTAATTCTAATTCTCTGACAAATTGCTTCATATCTCTGTACCCACTGCACTGCACTGTACACCAACTTTGACATAGCTTTCTTAGTAGGTTTCCCTGGTTTTTCAAATTGTTCTGCTGAAAACTCTGACTCATCACAGCTTGAGGCTTCTTCAAGTTCTGTAATCCAAGTATTAAAGTCCTGATGCGCTTCAGTCAAAAATACGGAGTGAGCTGACAATCGTTCTAATGATTCCAAATCGTCCATCATGATGTACGGTGAGCGCAGTGCAATTAAACTATTCTACTGATAAGTGAGCAACTGTTATCAACACTCAAGCTAAAAGGGTTCATAAAAGGCCAAGGTTACATACAGTTACTAAGATAAACCTCAAAACGTGTTCTAATGAATTAATCGCGAAGTAGAACTAAACACAAACCTCGCTTTTAGATAGAGCGTTACGTCTAACAGCTGTATCCGGTTTAACCTCTGGACCGTACGGTTTGTAGTCTTGTCTGTTGGAGCTAGTGGCTACCTCATTTCCTTTCATAAACTGAAATAGTTATTAGTTTCACTTTTGGTCTACTGTTTACCATTTAAAAACACAGTAAAAAATGTATGTTATAATTCTAGGTAGTACCGTGAAAAAGAAGACGCAATAAAGGGCATCTCGATTATCTGATTTACTTAATTTTGCGCCACCCTAAAAACAGTCACTACAAACCTTGCCACGTCGGTCCTCCTCCCAGTTCCCTATAAGACATTTCCTGCTGTAACTCTGTTCAATGCGCCATCCTGGCAACTGCCACTTCGCAGCGTCAGACGAGTGCACCATGTGTTACTAATGTTAATGTGTAAGTGTATAGGAGACATTTTAATGATATGGAAAGTTATCAAGAAACAAATTAGAAGAGGCTAGGTGGCCAAGTGGTTAGAGCTTCACCTTCTGTGAAAAATGTTTAGGGTTTCAATCCCAGTGTCTCCTAGTCTAGGGAGATAGCTAAGGATCCGTTAGATAATAGATATATGCAGAGTTACACATTTGTGTAATGTCTCCTTGGTTGACTCAGATGAATGATCGGAAAACAGTGATTGAATGTTAAATGAGGAGGGCCAGGGGTCCTGTCAAAAGATCAATAATCTTCTTAGGGGGCAAAATTATAAGGGGGCGCCAAATTGTCGTTTGAATGTGGGAAAATTTTAAAAACTTAACACGGTACTAGCAAAATTGCGCGTTCTGATCTAGAAACACACTTTCTTAAAGATTTTTACGATATATCCTCTAAAATCATCTAATTTGTCCAATTTTAGGGAGGGGCGCCAAAAGGGGAGGGGCGCTTTTCAGCAGGGGCACCAACAGGCAACGTTATGCCACTGTAAATGATACAGAAAAAGTTTAACTTACTTAAAAGGCACAGTTTTTATCTCCACAGAAAGCAGACTCAGTGGCGTAACGTTGCCTGTTGTCGACCCCGCCAAAAAAGCGCCCCTTCCCCTTTTGGCACCCCTCTCTAAAATTGAACAAATCAGGTGACTTTAGAGTAGGCTATCCATTATCGGTATGAAATCTTTTATCTAGATAAACAGATAAAAATTTAGGTTTTATCTAGATAAAACCGATAAAACCGATAATTTTTCTGTTGAAGGCCAAAGCCAAAATGTTTTCCAAATTTCACAAAAACTGATTGTCGACTTTTATTACTGTTTACCAGTAATCTTGCTAAAGTACAACTTCCTTTCTTTTGAAAATATTAGAGCTGTCTGTTTTCTTCTCCGGGGAACAATAGTGTACCAGTTCTCTTCAAAACAGTAGACCAAGGGTTTTCTTCTCCTGAGAACAGTAACGCACTAGTTCTCTTCAAAACAGTAGACCACCGGTTTCCTTCTCCTGAGAACAGTAACGCGCTAGTTCTCTTCAAAACAGTAGACCACCGGTTTCCTTCTCCTGAGAACAGTAGTGCAACAAATACCAGTTCTCCTCGAAACAGTAAAACATTTAAAGTGATTCAGTGAACCGTTTCCTTATCCTGTGGATAACTTGGAGCAACAGATTCCTTCTCCTGAAGACAATGTTTCACGCCTAGAACACTTACGGAATTTAATTGAGTGCCCTGCCGGTATTTTTGACTCTCGTTAACAGTAACATGCTCGTTCCTGTCTCCAGAATGGTTGTAAGGTAGAACGCCAGCACCCTAGCCTCAAGATAACAATGTCAATAACTTTCTCTAGACTTCTACAGTTCTACAGTTCTACAGTTCCATAGGTATACAAATGTAAATAAACCTCTTAAGCTCACATTTAAGTAAACTACCTCTTCTATCATACTATAAAACGTTTGGGACTGTTTCTTGGATTACTTGGGAAGGCAAAAAACCTTAGTTGTAGTGAACGCTGAACTTAGTCGTACTGAACGTACGTTCCAATCATTTTGTAGTGAACGTTTGTGAACGTTAGTGAACGTTAGTCAATATTTTGATAATTTTTCTGATAGTTTTTAACTTTAGATGGATACAATGAGATAAAACCATGTTGTCGGAATTAGACAGTAAATAAACAATAATGAATAAAAATAAGTCACTAGTATAGCAAATAGTAATGAAATTATTGCTCCTTAATTCGTGAATTGTTCATAAGACGCTAACATAAATAAGGTCTCGCTGCTTGTCAACTGTGAGGCGGTTTCTTTTTTTGTTTATCACCCAGTCGTACAAGCTCCAATTCGTCTCACAGGGTGAGGCTGATGTCGATTGCAACAGCGCTTTCATTGCAAAACTCTGTAGATCGGGTACCGCTGTAGTTCGGGTACCTCGCAACTGAAGTTGCTCCACCAAGAGACTGGATCGTCAGAATCTTTGCTAAAACTTGAGGCAGCGTCAGTAGAGAATAAGCCTCTTTTCTCTCGGTAGAACGTGTACTGCGAAAGTATCTTCTTCTTTGTTGCGCCGTCACACCACGTGTCCATGACATCTAGAAACTCCTTCCAGACATCCTGATTCGGGTGCTGATCATATCCCTGATAAGCCGGGTGAACACAAAACCCTACTGAATGTAGGGGGGAATGGAGCTCGAGCCACCTTTTGTTGGCAAGACTAACCATATCACTTTTATGGTTTCTATTGCGGAAAGCAAAATTTGCTAACTTTAAGGTGAACAGATAATATTTGTAATAAATTACACCGATAAAACCAACAGGAATCTTAAGACTATTGTCTGAAAATCTAAGCAAGACTTTTATCGGCTCGAGAATTGAGCATAAATAGTCGACTTCTATCCAGAAATGGGGGTCAAACACTAAATCTTTAGCGCACTCAAACAAATTCTTGTATTCATTACTTTTATTGGCTATTGCTAACAGACTCAGTAAGGGTTGGATCAATATAAGTCTTAATCAAAGTATCCTTGGAACCCTTCAGTCTCTCTAAGTCTAACATAATAAACTGGGTGGCAAACCGAGTTTCCCCTGGTTTTAGCAAATTGACATGAGAATGGGTTCCAAACGTTTTTAGAATCATGTCGTAATTCTTCACATTTGTAACTATTTTGTTACAATTCGACAATGTCTCCTTGGTCCAGCTCAACTTCCTCGGCAAGTAAATCGAACTGGTGGGTTACACAGCATGATCCTATGATGTGTTCATAATCAGCTTCGATTAAGCGTCGTAGAGATTTATTGACATTTGGATTGTCTGTTACAACGTGGCAAATCCTGTCGGCGCCAATTTCTTCAATTTTGGCTTTTACAATCTCATACTGACCATTCGCAGTTTTCTCAACCCCTGTAGCATTAACCGCGTCATGAAAAATAATGTCCTGCCTTTGCACGAGGGTGAAGTTAACGAGAGGGTGAGAGGATAGATCCTTCCAACCATCAGTTGTTAGGGTACATGGGAATTGCTCAGTGATCACTGAAGGCCTGGCAATGGAAACGCTAGTACTTTGCCGGATAATTGGGCTATGTCTGGCATTTTAATTTCATAATAGTAATTAACGTTCCTTATGTTCCGAACGTTAAAATCTTTTAGCGAACGCATTCACAAACTATTTTTAGTGAACGTTCCGTACGTTCACTACAACTAAGCAAAAAACACTAATATTTCTTTAAAATTGTACGGTATTGTGGCAGTTTTTTCGGTAATTTCTAGTGAATTTTTATACCGATAAAAATATGTTTTATCTAGATAAACAGATAACCTTTTTTAACGAATTATCGGAGATAATTATCGGTTACGATTATCGGAGTGGATAGCCTACTTTAGAGGATATACGCCGGTAAAATCTCTAAAAAAGTGTGTTTCTAGAGCAAAACATGCAGTAAAGTTTTTCAAAATTGTCCCACATTCAAAAGACAATTTGGCACCCCTCAGCACATTGCGCTTATTGCAGTGGCGTAACGGTGCCTGTTGGCGCTTCCCGCCGAAAATGCGCCCCCCCCCCCTGTTGGCGCCCCCTCCCCTTTTGGCTCCCCTCCCTAAAATTGAACAAATTGGGTGATTTTAGAGGATACACCAGTAAAATCTCTAAAAAACTGTGTTTCTAGAGCAAAACGCGCAGATTTGCTAGTACCTCAGTTAAGTTTTTCACTGGCGCATTGCAGCATTTAGACTTCATAAATCGAGATCAAATCCCCATCATAGCCCCATAGCTTGTCACAGAACATAATATTGAAATTATCTCTGTGATCACATCTTTCTCTGGGTGCAAAATGAATGTATAGGTTTATTAGACTATTATTATTAAATCTAAAATAGCTTTTAATTTAATTAATTATTAACAGGCCCCTTAACATGGGCAATAACATACGCTTTGTAAATTAAACTAGAAAACCCGTGGTCACAGGGAGGAAGCTAATATTGATAGTATTTTTTGTTAGTAAGTTTAAATCGCAAAAATATCCTACACAACTGAAGATACAGCCAATTAAAATGTTGCTCGTACTAAACACAGCGTAATATCAAGAAAACCGATCAAAATGACGTTAAAACGACCATTGCACATGCATGTGCGTGTAACAATCCTCGTTACCATGGTAACCACTCAACTTCCTTTTTCTCGTCTGATTTGCACGTGGGCGGTTGTACATTATACATAATTCTTTGAATTATAGTATAGATTATTTAAAAAACAAGTTCAAGTTTATTTTCCGATTCTGTTACTTGTCCAATGTCTCTTTAGATGTGTTTCAGTTTTTCATTGTGGGAGTTTCCACATTTGTTGGTTGAGAATGCTCAACAGAATATACATGACACTTGACTGCTTTATTGATATGACCCGGGCAGGCACCAGGGGCAGACATCCCAACACCAGTGCGTTGGGACATAGTGTTGGTCTGCTTCAGGATTTGTCTAGACCGTATGGTATGCAAAAATTAGACCATAAACACTTTGAAAAGGAGCATACAAAACCCATTTTTAATAGACTAAAAATTCTAACGGCTCAAAACCTGTACAAATATCACTGCATTTAAGAATTCTCTAAGATTATCAAGTACCACTGCCCCTACTCCCTTTATGAGGCCATCAACATTTCAAACCATGCAACGAGTCTAACTGTTATTCTTCTAAACAAATCAAATACCTTTTTGTTTAATGCAGCCAAGCTTTGGAACACAGTTCATAAAAAATTTTTAACTTCAAGCAATTGCCTAGAAACTTCCATTAACTTGATAAAATTGAGAACCAAAGCACTATTAGTACAATCACAGGCAGCTGACTTAAAAGATACCTGGACTCCAACCAATTTTAAATTGCAGTAATTAAATTGCACATGCAGCGGCACACACCTTATATTGCTATCATGATTGAACTATAAGCTGATAAGCTTTCAGATCCATTTTTAACCACT